AACAGAATGTGAAAATTATTGAACAATATCATTAGTATCACAAAATAAAATTTTGCTGAAGATAATTGAAAAACTGCCAGAAGAATGAACAAATCTATCTTGGAGGAAATACAGCTGGAATACTCTTTAGAAGCAAGAACAGTCAGACTCTGTCTCTCATGTTTTGGTCATGGTGTCAGAAGGGACCAATCCTTGGAGAAGGATATCATGCTGGAGAAGGAAAGCCAGTGAGAAAGGGGAAGACCTTCAATGAGAGGGATTGACAGAGTGACTGCAATGATGGGCTGAAGCATAGCAATGGTTTCAGCAGTACATTCACAGGGAACTGCCAGGAATTCAAGCTGGATTTAGAAGAGGACATGGAATGAGGGGAGTTATCATGGCTGATGTCAGATAGATCTTGGCTGAAAAAGAATACCAGAAAGATGTTTACCTATCTTTTATTGACTATAGAAAGGCATTCAACTGGCTGGGTCATAATAAATTATGGATAATATTTTAAAGAACGGGAATTCCAGAACACTTAATTATGCTCATGAGGAACCTGTACATAGAACAAGAGGCTGTCATTTGAACAGAACAAGAAATGCATGGTTTAAAATCAGAAATGGTTTGCATCAGAGTTGTATCATTTCACCATACTTATTCAGTCTGTATGCTGAGCAAATAATCCAAGAAGCTGGACTATAGAGGAAGAACGTGGTATCTGGATTGGAAGAAGACTCATTAACAACCTGTGATATGCAGATGACACATAACGAAGAAAACTTGAAGCACTTACTGATGAAGATCAATGTTAATTACACCTCAACATAAAGATTACAGTATGGATTATATGCCAACATAAAGAAAACAAAAATCCTCACAATTGGACAAATAGGCAACATCCTGATAAATAGAGAAAAGACTGAAGTTGTCGAGTATCTCATTTTACTTGAATCCACAATCAATACCCATGGAAGCCGAGAAATCAGAGGATGTATTGCACTGGGTAAATCTGCTGCAAAAGACCTTTTAAACTGTGTAAGAGCAAAAATGTCACTTTGAAGACGGAGGTGAACCTGACCCAACCTATGGTATTTTCAATAGCCTCATATGTGGGTGAAAGCTGAACAATGAATAAGGAACATTGAAGAATAATTGATGCATTTGAGTTGTGGAGTTGGCAAAGATTATTGAGAGTACCATAGACTACCAGAAAAATGGACAAATCTTTCTTGGAGGAAGTACAGTCTGAATGCTCCTTAGAAACAAGAATGGCCAGACTTTGTCTCTTATACTTTGGTCATGTTGTAAGAAGGGACTGTTCCCTGGAAAAGGATATCATGCTTGGTAAAATAGAGGGTCAGCAAAAAAGGGGAAGACCCTCAATGAGATGGATTGACACGTAGCTTTGATGATGGGCTCAAGTATGGTAATGACTGTGAGGATTATGCAGGACTGGGCAATGTTTCATTCTATTCTACACAGGGTAACTATGAGTCAGAACTGACTTGATAGCATCTAACAGTGACAACAAAATATAAATAGCATAGAATTTGCCATTTTAACCATTTGTAAGTATATAATGGTGACATCAATTACATTCACAATGTTGTGCAACCATCACCACTATTTCCAAAACTTTTTCATCACCCCACACAGAAACTCTGTACCCTTTAAGTCATGTTGTTGTTGTTGTTATTTGCCGTCGAGTCGGCCCCGACTCATAGCAACCCCTCCTTGGGTTTCCGAGGCAGTATCACTACGGAAGTAGGATTGCCCAACCTTCCTTCCGAGGAGTGGCTGGTGGGTTTGAAAGTCATTTTTTCCCTCTCCCAGGCTCTGGTAATCACCAGTCTGTTTTCTATCTCTATAAATTTGCCTGTTCTAGATACTTCATGCAAGTGGGATTATGCAGTATTTGTCCTTGTCTGTCTGACTTATTTTACTCACATAATTTGATCATTGCAACTGCTTCCTTATTGTCTTCCTGTTTCTCTGGCCCCTTTAAGCTTATTCTCAAATCAAATCAGCATCCAATTAAGACATGAGTCACATCATGACACTCCTCTGCTTAGAATCCTCCTATGGATTATAATATAGTCCAAATATAAATGCAGAAATTGTCACCATGGCCCAAAGACCTTATGCTGTTTGATCTCATCACCCCATTACTCTTTGCTTTAACCAGATGTACTGCTCCTTATACATGCTGGGTGTACATCCACTCAGGGTCTCTGCATTTGCTGTTTCCTCTGCCTGGATAATCCCTTAGATTATCTGACTGGTTTGTTTCCTCACCTCCTTCACAACTTTGTTTATATGTCATGTCATTAGGAGCCTCCCCTGATCTCCAAAGTCAGTCACATCCCATGACTCCCCCACACTTACTTTCTTCAAAGCATTTATAATATACCATTTATTTATTAACTTACTCATATGTACGTATACACATGCATACATGCATATATACATTTGGTTTCCTGCCACTAGAATGTAAGCTCCATGATGAAAGGGATTTTTGTCTATGCCATAACAGAGCCTGACACATAGTGTTGTTATTAGTTTCCATCAAGATGGCTCTGACTCATGGTGACCCCATGTACAACAGGATGAAATGTTGCTAGGGCCTATGTCATCTTCACAATTGTTGGTATGCTCAAGTCTATTGTTGCAGCCACTGAGTATTTTGAGTGACTTCTAACTTAGGGGCTCATCTTCCAGCACCATATCAGACAATAATATTCTGTTGTGATTCTTAGAGTTTTCCTTGGCTAATTTCTGGATGTAGATCTCCAGACCTTTCTTCCTAGTCTATCTTAGTTTGGAAGCTCTGCTGGAGCCTGTCCACAAATGATGACCCTGCTGGTATTTGAGTTACTAGTGGCACAGCTTCCAGCACCACAGCAACATACAAGCCACACAGACTGTTAGACAAGTGGCACATAGTAGTCATTCATTAAACATTTGTTAAATGAATGAATATTGTATTTAAGGAGCTACGCACCAGCCAGCCACTTGGAGATGCTCAGTATAAATTTGATATGCAAATGTGGAGCTTAGAAGGGACTCTGAAACTAGATTTACAAATTTTAGATTCTTTAGTGTATAGATTGAGATGTCATCCCCTGTACAGTGAGAAGAGAGAAGGATCAAGGATGGAGCCCTGGAGAACAGTTACAGGTGAGGGGCAAGTGGAGAAAGAATGGTTTGGGGAGGAGACTGAGAATAAATAATCCAGGAGTCACAAGATGAACCTGGAAAGAATTGAGCCTCTGAGACCAAGAGAGGAAAATGTTTCAAGAAGGAGAAAGTATAAGCAGTGTTTGAGCCTGCAGAGAAGATAAGATGAGGACATAAACATTAAGATTAATACATTCAGATATATAATATTGAAAGCTCAGGACTGAAACCATCCCACATTCTGATCTAAAGTATTTTGAAATGTTAGGTGTTGAGCATGCAAGATGTCTATATTTCTTGTAAGTCTGAGTATTGTTGTAATTGCACCCGATATCCATAACTCACCCATCGAAATTTACTGAACAATTAGTTTTATCAATGTGGTAAAGAACACATTGAACTTTCACTAAACATGTTTAACTTATGGTTTAGCATGTATGGGAATGTTTTTGTCAGGGTTGTCTAGAGAAATAGAACTGGTGAGATATATGTCTACATATCTATGTCTCCCTATATATTTATTTTAAGGGATCTGCTCACATCATTGTGGGGCTGACAAGTCCAAAATCTGTAGGTGAATCAGCAGGCTGGAGACATCTGCAGGCTTGCACCTCAGTATCTGTAGGTCAGTCAATGAAAATTGCAGAGTGGAGAGAGAGAGAAAGAAAGAGAGAGAGAGAGAGAGAGAGAATGAGAGATAGACTTCTGCCAAAATGTCTATTTATAGTCTGGAGGCAGAACAGACCCTAAGGAAACTCTCTTTTCAACTGACTGATTGAATACATGACATTAGATTACATTATGAAATAGCATGTAGACTAATGTTTGGCCAAGCTATTGGGAACCATAGTCTAGCAAAGTTGATACATAAAATTAGCCATCACAGGGTGACATCATCTAAGTCAAATTGGTTTGAAGGTGATCATTGGTATTTACAAACAGTTCATTGATGAGAGTTGAGTATTTTCTTCTAATCTCATCTTTACTATTTAATAGGAACTCTGGTAGCATAGTGGCTAAGGCACTTGACTGCTAACCAGAAGGCTGGCAGTTCAAACCCACCAGCCACTCCTCGGAAGGAAGTTTGGGCATTCCTACTTCTGTAGTGATACTGCCTCGGAAAACCAAGGAGGGGTCGCTATGAGTCAGGTTTGACTTGATGGCACATAACATATGAATATAAGGAGCCATGGTGGTGTGCTGGTTAAGAGCTCAGCTGCTAACTGAAAGGTTGATGGTTTGAATCCACTAGCCACTCCACAGGAGAAGGATGTGCCAATCTGCTCCTGTAAAGATTTCAGCCTTGGAAACCCTATGGGGCTGTTCTAGTCAGTCTTATAGGGTCATTATGAATTGATATTGTCTTGACGGTGTGGGTGATTGGTGTATTAAGGAGTCTTGGTGGCATAATGGTTAAAGTGCTCAGCTGCTAACTGAAAGGTTGGTGGTTTGAACTCTCACCCAGTGACTGTGGCAGGAAAGACCCAGAACAGAAAAAAAAGATGCTATAACTGTGACTAAATTATTAATAGGTGCATCTAACATATGTGGAAACTATACCCTCTGGGTGTGTGTTTATATATTGCTATTTATAATGGTTCCCTATGCCTGAGCCCTGTTGGTACAGTGATTAAGTGCTCAACTGCTAACTGAAAGATCACCAGCCATATTGGAGTCTGCTTCAGTACGGATTACAGCCTTGGAAACTCTATGGGGTTCTGTTTTCTCCTTTAGGGTCACTATGAGTCAGAATGAACTTGACGGTAATGGGTTTTTTAAATTATTTAGAACATGATGATGATATTTTAATAAAATAGTGCTCCTTGAAATTTCAGATAACTAATGAAATTGTGCGGCAGATGATGGAAATGGAAGGAATGTACAGCTTGGATAAACCAGGAGACTTCACTACTATTGTTGATGTGCAGCTCATAGCAGCAATGATCCATCCTGGAGGTGGTCGAAATGATATTCCACAACGTTTAAAAAGACAGTTTACTGTGTTTAATTGCACATTGCCTTCAAATGCTTCAATAGACAAAATTTTTGGTATGAATATTCTTGGTGTTTAATTTTATATTGCATTACATAATGGACATAAAACATGCAAAACTTTAGAAGATTAAAAAGGCCCCATTTGAAGTAGGAGCTAAGTATCTGAACTAGAGAGCTAAACATCAGGAAAGAGGGACTAAATACTAAGGAGACTCATGTTTCCAACCTATTATTAGACTCAGGACTATTTAGAGGTAGGTTTGTTGATGTTTGGCATTAGAGGTAAGCAAACCTTTGAGCTTTGGTTTTCTTGACGTGGTTAATCAGAGAAATTTTGGCTCATGACTGATAGCAGATTGATCATAAGTTAACAGTATATTATACCAAGTCAGAAGTAGCTTCTGATATGTTAATAGAAATGAGATTTTTTACTTCAAACTGAAGCTCACATAAATTGTATTATCGAAAATTGTGTACATATAAGAAAGATAGACCACTGCATATATAGGCATTAGTTATTTGATAATATCAAGTACTGAAGATAGAGGAGAAAGAGCAGACCTTCAATAAGTAGTATTGAAAGGGATATATAGTAATTTGTATGGGGAAAAAATGGAAATTGGATTCCTGCCTCACACCAAGAAGACTGCTTCATCTTTCTCCTACAGAGCAGCTGGTGTGTTCCAACCATGAGCCATCAGTTAGCAGCTGAGTACTTAACCACTGTGCCACCAGGGCTCCTCTAAAATTAACTACAGTTGGATTAAGGACTTAAGTACAGAAGGCAAAGGTATAAAATGCTTGGAAGAAAATATAGGAGGAAATCTGAATGACCTCTGGGTAAGAAAGTGTTTCTTAAACAAGATTTGGAAGGTACAAACCATAAAAGGAAAACATTGACAAATCTGACTAAATTAAAATTAAGAGCTTCTGTTCATTAAAATAAAAATTGAAAGAGTGGAAAGACTCATAAAGTGAAAGAAAACAATTTCAACATATATAGCTAACAAAAATTTAGTACTCTGAATATCTAAAAAAATCCTATAAATCAATTAGAGAAAAGCAAACAACCCAACATAAAAATGGGCAAAAACCCAAGCAATTTAAAAAGAGGAAAGCAAATGTCCCCAAAACAAATGCAAAGATGATAAAAGTCATTAGTATTTAGGCAACTGCAAATTAAAAGCTCAAAGAGATAACATTTTATACCCACCAGATTTGCCAAAAAAAAAAAAAGACATTTCTGATAAAATCAAGCACTGGTGAGAATATGAAGCAACTGAGATTCTCATCCACTACTGGTAGGAGTGTAAATTACTACAAGCCCTTTGGCTTTTTGCTGGTAAAGTTAAATGTGTGCACACCCTACTGAAGTCCCTCTTCTAGGTGTATACCAATTTTTAATATTTTTCTCAATAGTTTGTGCTTTCTGAGTTTTGTTCTAGTCATTCTTACCAACCCAGAAGCATTCACATATTTTCCTAAATTTTTTTCCAAATTTTTTAGACTTTGGCCTTCCATATTTAGGTACCTAAGGAGCTCGGTGGCATAGTGCCTAAGGCATTTGACTGTTAACCGGAAGGCTGGTGTGGTGTAGTAAATTACTTAGTGTGGCTTTTCTGCCTATGTCTTTGTAAACTCCAAGGTAGAATTTGCCATGAGCAACTGAGGAGCTTCTGATTGCTAAAGTTGTCCACCTGAGGTATTTCTGTTGGGAGTGGCACTAAATAATGTTCTGGGAGGTTTCCACTCTCTCTCAGGTGTTTAGAATTCTGATGTTATGATTGGTTGGTTTGCCCACTCTGCTGGGCTCAAAAGGAGGCCTCCTAGAGGCAGAAGTGGCTCTCTCTGACTGCTGGCTGAGGAAGGATGTGCCCCTGAGAGACACATGCTGCTGGGAAAGAGAAACAAGAGACATGCATTGCTGAGAGAGACACTGAAGGACATGCACTGCTGGGAGAGAGACTGTGAGAGATTGCGGGCTGGGAGAGAGACCGAGCATTTTTCCTGAACTTGAATTGTAGCCTGGTGCTTCCCTAGTAAACTCCATAGTCTGCGAGTTCTGCATGGCCACTGCAGTGAATTATTAAACCCAGGAGAGAGGTGGTGGGTGCTTTGGGAGGAATGATTGGTGAAAGGGTTGGAGGGAGGCAGCATGTCTGATCTTGCAGTAATAGGCCTTAGGCTACTAATGATGGTGATTCCGTCTTCCTCTTGTGTGGTTAGAGGAGGTCAGAAGATGTGGCTTCCTTGCCCATTTTTCAGTTGCTGGTTCAAACCCACCAGCCACCCCTCGGAAGGAAGGTTGGGCAATCTATTTCTGTATGATACTGCCTTGGAAACTCAAGGAAGGGTCGTTATGAGTTGGATCCGACTCGATGGCAGTAAGTTTTTTTTTTTTTTTTTTTATCCACGTGTAGCTGGTTTTGCACATGTGTACCAGAACACTTAACACAAGAATGCTCACTGAGCAATATTCATAACAAAAACCTTGAAACAACCCAGATATTTCTTGGTGGTAATACTGGGTAAATAAATTGTGATATAATGACACACAATGTAATGCTTTGCAGCAGTGGATATGAATGAATACAGCTATATGCTTCAGTAGGAATGAAGCCCAGAAATAAAGTATTGAGTGAAAGAAGCAAATCACAGAGGAATATGGAACATGGTTCCATTAAATTAAATCTCAGAAGTTAAAAGTTCAAAAACATACATGGTGAAACTATAAAGAAGAACAAGTTACTGATTATCACCAAGTCAGAATGGTAGCTACCTCTGGAGGAACAAGGGGTCTGTGAAGAAGGAGAAAGAAATGGGGGCTTCTACCATACTGGAAAATATACCAGGGACTGCCAGAATGAACAAATCTGTCTTGGAAGAAGTACAGCCAGAATGCTTCTTAGTAGTGAGAATGGCCAAACTTCATCTCATGTACTTTGGTCATGTAATTAGGAAGGATAGTCCCTGGAGAAGGACATCATCTAGGTAAAGTAGAGGATCAGTGAAAAAGGGGGAAGATCCTCAATGAAATAGGTTGATGCAGTAGCTACAACCATGGGCTCAAGCATAACAACAATTGTGAGGATAGTGCAGCACCAGACAGCATTTTGTTCTGTTGTACATAGAGTCACTATGAGTCAGAAGTGACTTGATGCCACCTAACAACAACAACAACATCAACAACATACTGGAAGAGATCCATATTGGTAGGCACTCCAAGGAAAGATGATCCAATAGAATGCAGAAATTATCAAAAATATTATTAATATCACATGCAAGTAAAATTTTGCTGAAAATAATTCAAAAATGGTTGTACCAGTACATTGACTGTCAGAGATGCAAGCTGGATTCAGAAGAGGATATGATGAGGGCTATCATTGCTAATGTCAGATGAATCTTGGCTAAAAGCAGAGAAAAGAATGAAAAGATATTTACTTATGTTTTGTTGACTGTACAAAAGCAGTTTATTATGTGGATCATAGCAATTTATGGATGACACTTTGAAGAATGGGAATTCTTAATTGTGCTGGTGGGGAACTGTACATAGAATAAGAGGTAGTCATTCAAACAGAACAAGGGGATATGGCATGCTTCAAAATCAGAGAAAGCATATGTCAGGATTGTATCCTTTCACCAAACTTGCTCAATCTGTATATGGAGCAAATAATGCAAGAACCTGGACTCTATGAAGAAGAATTTGAATCAGGATTGGAGGAAGACTTATCAACAACCTGTGATATATAGAGTACACAACACCTTGCTAAAAGTGAAGAGGACTTGAAGCACTTACTTATGAAGATCAAAGACTACAGCCATTAGTATGGATTTCACCTCAACATAAAACAAAAATCCTCACAACTGGACCAATAAGCAACCTCATGAAAAATGGAGAAAAGATTGAAGTTGTCAAGGATTTCATTTTACTTGCATCTACAATCAATGCCCATGGAAACAGCAGTCAAGAAACCAAATGATGGATTGTCTTGGGAAAATTTGCAAAAGACCTCTTTAAAGTGTTAAAGAGCAAAATATGTCACTTTGAGGACTAAGGTGCACCTAATCTAAGCTATAATATTTTCAGTCACTTCATATGCACGTGAAAGCTGGCCAATGAATAATGAACACCAAAGAAGAATTAATGCCTTTGAATTATGGTGTTGGCCAAGAATATTGAGTATACCATGGACTGCCAGAAGAATAAACAAATCTATCTTGGAAGAAGTACAGCCAGAATGCTCTTTAGAAGCAAGGATGGTGAGACTTCATCTTATGTACTTTGGTCACATTATCAGGAGGGACCAGCCTCTGGAGAAGGACATCATACTTGGTAAAGCAGAGGGTCAGGAGGATCCTCAGTGAGGTGAATTGACAAAGTAGCTAGCTACAAGAACGGGTTCAAACAGAACAAGGATTGTGAGAATGGCACAGGACTTTGTTTCATTCTGTTGTACATAGAGTTGCTATGAATTGGAGTTAACTGGATGGCACCTAACAACAGCAACAATATACTGAGGCCATGTTGTATTTCTTAATCTAGGAGACTGTATATGGGTGTTTGCTTATTTGTTAAACTGTTTTGCCCACTCTTCAGTATTTAATATCTTTAAATAAATAAATGTGGGAAAATGAAAACACCAACCAAGAAACAGGTTCAGAGAAATGAATAAATGCCCAACCAAAGTCATTTAGCTAGTACATCAGAGAGGTATAGTGCTAATCTCTGTTTTCTGACTCCAGATTCCATACTTCTTAGAAAACCTTTGCTCCACAGGAAGTTGGAATTCTAGAGTCATAGGACATCAGGAAATGAAAGGGCCATACAAGCATTCAACACAATCAACCATGACTTTGGAAGACAGTTTTCTGTTCCCTCAAGTCAACTCTTTCTCAGTCTGGGTTAACAAACCTCAGTTTCTACAGCTGCTCCTTCCTTCATAAACCTGCTCTGCATTTCTGGGCAGATTTTTATGTTCCTATTTCTCTCAGAATGTCATGCATGGAACTGAACACATTACTCAACATACAGACTGACCAGAGTGAAGTAGAGAAAATCTATTTTTATAGACTAAAATCAAAGACATTTTGTATGTCAATCCTCCTGAGCTGGAGGTGTTTCCTAATGAATGGTCAAATATTCAGCCCAGGAAATGTGGTCCCAACTTTCCAGTTCTACACCAATCAATTTGTGTGATTCTGAACATTTGCTTTACCTGCCTGGCCTGGTCTCCTCATCTAGAAGATGACAGAGTAGCATCTAAGTAATTTCCCAGCTGTCCTGTGCTTCAGGCTGAATGCTGCTTTATGGTATCCAGAGCCAGGCTGCCTGGTTCACATCTCAGATTTGCCTTCACACAAGCTAGGTGGACTTGGGCAAAGTGCTAAGCTCTCTGCTCGAGTACCCTCATATTAAACAGATGTCTTAGTTTCCTGGGGCTGCCTTTATAAAACACCACAAAGTGAGTGGCTTTAAAGAACAGAAGTGTATTGTCTCACAGTTCTGGAGGAGAGAAGTATAAATTGGGGTTTTGGCAGGTGGATTCCTTTCAAGGACTCTGAGAAGGAAACCGCTTCATGTTTCGCTCCTAGCTTCTAGTGTTCCCAGCAGTCCTTGGTGTTGCTTGACTCACCTCTGTCTTCATAGTCCTGTAGCCATTCTTCTTCTGTCTCCCATGTCTCTCTGTGTATCTTCTCTTTTATAAAGACACCTGTTATATAGGATTAGGGCTTACCCTACTCCACTATGACTTCATGTTACCCTTCAAAGATTCTATTTCCAAACAGGGTTATATTCACAGGTACAGGGGTTAAGACTTCAACCTATCTTTTTGGAGCAGACACAATTTAATTCATAACAAATGGTAATAATATCTACCCCATATTCTTTCGTATAGGGTATTGGGAGGATTAACAGAGTTAATGTATGTAAAATGTTTATCACTGCATATTAAGCTTTGTCAGCCCCACTGCTAATTTCCCATCTTAGCTGATTCCTTGAGAGAAATTCTTGAGATCACCCAGCTTAGTCAGTCTTGTGTGGAATAAACATGTACCTTGTAATCTGTTAGCAAGCTTGTATCTTCAGTCTTGTTTATTTTCCAGGAATAATTGGCTGTGGATACTTTGATCCTTGTAGAAACTTCAAACCTGAAGTATGTGAGATGATTGCTAATTTAGTCTCAGCGGGCAGAGTGCTATGGCAATGGACTAAGGTACAGAACCATCTGCTATTGATAAAAACAAAGTCAACTATTTTTCAGCCTCATTCTCATCTCATGGCTCATTAAGTTATCACAACATCATATGTGTAGTAGTGCTTTTTTTGAAAAGACAAATTATGTGCTCAAAGAGATTTATGACACACTTCCCTTCCAAGGAGCAACTATTCTCACTGAATGAGGCTTTCAATATGTATGAGCTATTACTATAAACCAGACAAGACGACCAAGATAAAGTAGAATTTTGCTGAAATGACATTTCTTTTCCACTTGTTACTTTGATGTGTATGTCTGTCTTCCTATCCAAACTACATCAGAACTTCAATAATTGTTTGTTGACTGAGAGAATACGTGGATTATCAAATATTCCTAGCTAACCAAGACTTTACATCTAACTTGTGTGTTTTGCTGAGGTGGATTGTGAATTAGTAAATGAATAGAAATGTTCTTAACAAAGGTCCCTGGCTGGTGCAAATGGTTTGCACTCCACTACTAACCTAAAGTTTGGTGGTTTGAACCCAGCCAGTGGTGGTGCATAAGAAAAGCCTGGTGATCTGCTTCCATAAAGGTCACAGCCAGGAAAACTCTACAGAACAGTTGGACTCTGCAACACATAGGGTTGCCATGAGTCAGAACTGACTGGACAGCAACAGGTTTTTTTTTTTTTTTTTTTCCATTGTGATTTGGGTGGAAGTTTACAGAGCAAATTCACTTTCCATACAGCAGCTCACATACACTTTGCCTCATGACATTGACTGCAATTTCCCACAATGCAAAAGCTTTCCTCCCACTTCCTCCCCATAGTTACCTCTTCCCTGTGTCCTTCCCTCCCATGCACTCCTTCCCCCCGCCCAGCAGTCTCCCTGTATATACACAACCTCCTATTCTTCCATGATTATTCTCTCTAAGGACTGTATCTACCTAATGTAAAATGTTCAGCTGATATGCCTGTCTTTTGTTTGGCTGGAAGCCACAGGAATGGGTTCAATTCCAGACCTGAAGGGCAGCTAGGGGCCATAGTCTCAGTGGTTCCCTCAGGCTCTATCAAATCAGCAAACCCGATTCCTTTTTTTTTTTTTTTTTACATTTTTCCCCCCCTCTATCCAGGATCTCCTACATAGATCCCCCTCCGAGTGGTTGACAGTGGTAGCTGGAAGCCACCTAGTTCTTCTGGTCTCATAGTTGTATAGGCTAAGGATTTAATGGTATACCAGTCACTTGGACTAATTATTTCCATGCATCTTTGATTTTCTTCATTTTTCTTTGGCAACAGGTTTTTTGTGCTTAACAAAATAGGTTAGATTTCAATACAAAAATCAATGTCCTAAATAAAGATGAGCATACCAGATGTGGCCAGCACCAGAGGCCTTCAGGAAAGACTTGTGGAAAGGCAATTAATTGTAGATCTGAGATAAAAACAGGATTGATACATTTGCCAAAAGGGGGGAAATTGATAGGGAGTAGTTGTTGTAGTTCACACTGTATTCATTAGGCCAGTTGCACACATCTGGGTGGAAGCTGGGAGAAAGATGAGGCAGTCTGCTTCATAAAGATTTAAAGCCTTGGAAACCCTATGAGGCAGTTCTGCTCTGTCCTATGGGATTGCTATGAGTTGGAATTGACTTGATGGCAGTGGGTGTTTTGGGGTTTCGGTGGAAGCTTATCCCTTGAAGTGTGCCAGCCTTCAGATTCCCAGGTGGACTGGAGAAATTTTAGATACCGAATTATCAGAAGAGAAATGGAGTGTTTCTTACAAAATGCTCTTCCACACATCCTCCTTGAATGTGTCATCAGCTCCTTGAATGGGTTTGTGCTCCATGTCAACACAGGATCTCTGCACATGCTATTCCCACTCTCTTAAACTCAGAAATTGTCTATCAGATTCATGGGTGAATGAATGGCAGGGTCTGAGTGTCTGAGATAATTTTCTGCGCTAAGCTCTGTCTGCTTCCCAGAGGGCCTATTGTTAGGTTTGACGTGCCTGTATTCATATTTGTCTGAAAAGAATTTGCCTTCTGGGAGTCTCTCCATCAAAGCTTCTTTTGTTATATGAATGTTTACTTGCTCTACTTCCTCCCTCTCTTCCCTTCTTTACCCCATTTTGCACGGGCTTGTATTCCCACTGCTCTCATCAAGGTCACCAAAACCTCAGTCTTGCCAAGTCCAAAGGTTAATTTTCTTCTTCCTCTTACATTTCAGCAGCATTGGATATAAACGACCCACTCTTTGCCTCTAAACATTTTCTTTACTTAGCGTCAGAAACATCCCACCCTCCTGGTTTCCTCTGACCTCACTGGCTACCTTTTCTGAAGTTGCTCCATCTCTCCTCTAAATACCGGAGTGCACCTGGTCTCAAGGTTGAAACTGCTCCTCCATCTACATTCTCTCCCTAAGTGGTCTCATCCAGCCTCAGGGTGAATTAGCCTGTGAAAATTACTCTACAAATATCACTCAAATGCACTTTCTCAATGTAAACCAGTTGTCATCGAGTTGAATCTTACTCATGGCAACCCCATGGGTGTCAGAGTAGAACTGTACTCTGAAAGGTTTTCCAGAAAATGGTGGGTTTTTCAGAAGTAGATCTCCAGGCGTTTCTTCTGAGGCCTCTCTGGGTGGACTTGAACTTCCATCCTTTTGGGTAGTAAGTTGCCAAGTGCCTTAACCATTTGAAAGGGCTTATTCCACGAATGGGTACTGAAGAAAGCATTTACTTTTCTGTTTTCAAAGATCTTTGAACTTGACCAGCAATGCTTTTGATACCCAGGGCAACTCAGGTTTATCCCTTAACTGGAATCTCTCTAGATAAGAGTACGTGTTGTTTTTTACAGCTTTTCCTTTTTAGATTCTAGAAGTTTATAGAAATAATGAGTAAATTAGCATAGTTGAAACACAGACATTGCACTTGTTGTTGTTGTTGTTATGTGCCGTCAAGTTGGACCCGACTCATAGCAACCCCTCCTTGGGTTTCCAAGGCAGTATCACTACGGAAGTAGATTGCCCCATATTCCTTCCGAGGAGTGGCTGGTGGGTTTGAACCGCCAGCCTTCTGGTTAGCAGTCAAGTGCCTTAGGCACTATGCTACCACTGCTCCCTTAAACAAACAAAAATCTGAAAAATATCTATTACCTAGTAGCTCCTGTCAGACTTGCCTGTCAATTTGTTGTGGATGCACAGCTGTATGAAAGTGTGTAACTGGATCTGGATCCCCACAGTGAAACTCAGGTTATGATTGGCAAATATATTTGTAGAAATGGAAATACATGAAGGACTTTAATCAAAGCATTGTATACAAGAGAGACATTATTGATTTTAGAGTGAACACTCATTGTTCTCACCTGCTTGATAACCAGCTCACATTCAGTTATTTTAATGACATATTTCCATGTATACACTAATAAGGTTAATATGTGAGGTTAATAATGATTACCAAAACCCCAAACCAGACCTACCACTGTTGAGTCAATTCTGACTCATAATGACCCTATAGGACAAAGTAGGGTTTCCAAAGCTGACATCTTTACTGAGGCAGACAGCCACGTCTTTTTTTCCATGAAGTTGCTGGGAACAATTATTCCCACAATTCCCATAGTTGTCAAGAACTGAGGGGAAGTGACTTGTTCAAAGCCAACCACTGGTAGTAGAACTGACATTGTACATTATTCTTGAGTCAGTCCCATTCAAGGGCTTATGGTCTTTTTATTAAAAAGTTTCTGTTGGTTTATTTATGATGTGTTTTTCTATCAGTACTGTGACAAAAATATGCAACATAATCTTGGTTTATGTACCCAGCCTTATATATTTTATGTGAAAGACTATTTGTAAAGCAAAATAGTTCTGGAAGCAGTTGTACTTTTAGATTTTATATTGTAAAACTTAATTGTGAATATTAATTATTATTATTATTATTATTTTTTTTTTGGTCTTTAGATAAAGATGCTGCCAACTCCTTCCAAATTTCATTACATCTTCAATCTTCGAGATCTTTCCCGAATTTGGCAAGGAATGTTGGTCATAAAAGCGGAGGAGTGTGATTCAGTTTCTACTCTCCTGTCACTTTTCAAGCATGAGTGTAACAGAGTAATTGCAGACAGGTGCATATTTGAGCATTTGAGTTTAAATATACTATATATAAAATTTTAACTACTAGATTAATTCTTGCATTGGCTACTCAGATAAATAGAGTAAGGAATAGAGTAAGGAGTAGAGTAAGCTCATGGAGCTTTGGTGTCATTTTCCACCTGCTGATCTACTTTAAAAAATGCTCTGCTAGGGTGGAATAGGCAGACAAGCTCCACAGACCCTCTTCAACAAAGAAAAGAGAAACTAATTGACAGAGATACAGAAGATAATCTTGGAGCCCTGAGCTCTGAAAGGAAGTATAAGTACACAGAAGTGGATTAGGCACCAACTAGTAGAAAAACCTGCATGAAAACAGTGAGTACAGAGATGGTTGGAGCAGTGGACTATCAGCTACTCTGACAGGACCAACAGCCTGAATATTTCCAAGTAGTGTTGAAACCTGAGAATTGACCTAAACATCAGCCTTGGTCACCAAGGGCTGCAGGGGTGACTGTGCTAGTGGCCTATGACTAGGAAGGAAAACAGCAAGAAGTGAGACAACCTGAGCTGTGAACTTTTGGCTGTCCAGAGGGTGCAGCAATTTTGATTGTTTACAAGTGGTGGCCATTTTGGATATTTAAAGTCACCGAGGGTGCAGCCATTTTGAATGTTTACAAACAGTGGCCATTTTGGATTTTAAAGTGACAGCATTCTCATTCAGATTCCAGGGGCCTAAGAATAGGCTCCATTTGCCAAGGATGGCAAGGACATATGGGAGGCAGACAATAGGAAAGGAGACATGTGGTGAGTGTGTAAGTGCTGCCAACTAGAGAACAGAGGAGCACAGCACAGTACCCTGCTTATGTAGATAACATACAAACAAAACAAAGAAAACAAAAATCATGGGAAAGTCATTACAATTAGCAATTAAATATAAACCCCAAAACATCACAATGCCTTGGAGACAACAGACCATTACAGTCCACACAAAGAAGCAAGATAAACAGGAGAAACAGGGGGCCAGGATACAGACCCAAAACACATCCCTGAGGAAGATGCAGCTTTGGAACTCCCTGATAAGGAATTCAAAAGAAGTATGTTTAGGTGCTTTCAATGGACTGAGAGACAGAGCAAGGAAAACACTGACAAAATTGAGGAAAACACTGACAAAATTGAGGAAAACACAGACAAAACCCTAGAACACAATACAAGAACAAAATGACAGAATAAATGAAAACTTAGGAATGATACATAACCTACAGACAGAAATCCAGAAGATTAATACTAAAGTTTCATCAATAGATAATTCATTGAATGGGGAAAGGAGTAGAATTGAATCAATGGAAGACAGAATTAGTGAGATTGAAGGCAAATACCTCAATACTTCTTTGGAAAGGGATCAGAAAAAAGATCAAAACAAAATGAAGAAAGCCTAAGGTTCATGTGGGATACCATCAAAAGGAATAACTTATATGCAGTCAAAATTCCAGAACAGGAAGAGACAAATATAACCACAGAAAAAATGGTCAAATTTTTTTGGAAGAGAATTTTCCTGGTATGATGAAACATGAGAATATATCCATTCAAGAAGTCCAATGAACCCCAAACAGGATAGACCCCAAAAGAAAATCACCAAGACACATCATCATGAAACTCACCAAAACCAAAGACAAAGAAAGAATCCTTAAAGCAGCACAGGAAAAATGAAAAGTTACCTACAAGAGGCAACCAAAGAGACTAAGCTCTGATTTCTTGGCAAAATCATACAGGTGAGAAGACAATGGGATGGTATATATAAAGCCCTGAGAGAGAAAAATTTCCCACCAAGAATTATATCCGGCAAAATTGTCCCTCAAATATGATGGTGAAATTAAGACATTTATAGAAAAGCAGAAATTAAGGGGATTTGTTAAAACCGGACCAAACTTACAAGAGATGCTAAAGGGAGTCCTTTGGACAGAGAATCAACAACAGCTAACAACAACTGACCATTAACACACATGATGACATAATGTAGAAACCAACCCATTTATAGAAATATCCAAAGTAAATAAGCCTCCAAGATTGTAAACAGGGAGCCAGAGACATCAATTGACAAATGAGGGCAACTACAAACAAAAAAGAGGGTAAAAACTGTGTAGTTAGAGAACTTCTCAATGGTGGGGAAGTCAAGACAACCACAAGATAGAATGGACTGTTCTAAACTTGGGAAGAAATTGTAAATAACAGAGTAACTTCAAAGAAAAATGATAAACCTTCACATCAAAATAAAAAAGAGGACCAGTAAAAATATTTAGCAATACTAAAACAATAGCAATGAAGGAAGTGATGACATGACTCATAAACAAAACGAGCTCAGCACAGAAAATTACATGGAACAAAGAACACCACAAAAAAACATACAACAAAATGATAGCAACAAATTCATACTTGTCGATAACTACATATCTGACAATGGAGTTATCTCTGAAATTTACAGAAAACTCCAACGCCTCAACAACAAAAAGATTAACAATCCAATTAAAAAATGGGCAGAAGACATGAATGGACACTTCACCAAAGAGGATATTCAGGCAGCCAGCAAGTACATGAAGAAATGCTCATGATCATTAGCCATCAGGGAGATGCAAATCAAAACAATAATGAGATACCATCTCACAGCAGCACTAATGGCAAAGTTCAATAAGACAGAAAATAACAAATGCTGGCAAGGATGTGGAGAAATTGGGACCCTCATACACTGCTGGTGGGTCTGTCAAATGATAGAACCGCTGTGGAAAACAGTATGATGATTCCTTAAAAAGCTGTAATTAGAAATACCATTTGACCCAGCAATCCCATTACTGTGTATATATCCTAAAGAAGTGAGAGCCAGGACAAGAACAGATATAAGCACACCCATGTTCATCACAGCACTATTTACAATAGCAAAAAGATGGAAACAACATACATGCACATCAACAGAAGAATGGATAACCAACCTGTGGTACATACACACAATGGAATACTATGCAGCCCTAAAGAATAATGTAGAATCTGCAAAACACCACATAACATGGATGAACTTGGAGGACGTTATGCTGAATGCAAGAAGTCAGTCACAGATGGACGAATATAGTATTAGTTCATTATTGTAAAAAGTCAAAGAAAAGCTTATATATGGAAGGGAACTTTCTTTGTTGGTTACCAGGGGTGGGAGGGTAGGGGAGGGAAAAACTGAAAAAAAAAAAAAAAAAAAAAAAAGCATTGATCCATGTCACTTTAGTTTTGCGTATTTCACTGTACATAAATTTGTTGGGGTTTTTTTGTTGTTGTTATGTGCCTTTGAGTTGGACCCAACTCATAGTGACCTCTCCTTGGGCTTCTGAGGCAGTATCACTAATGCATTAAAAAAAATGCTCTGTTAATTTACCTGAGTATGATTTCAACAGTCATCTCTGTAAATCACCACTTCCATCAGAGAGTTGGTAAAATTCAGAGGCAGATTTTAGTTATGCATGATTATAAATATTGTTAGTTCTGCATAGGTCTTGTGTGGTGAAATCTGGTGTACAAAGTTCAGCTGTCTCTCTGAGCCTTGATAAGATATGGATCCTCTCTATAGGATGTGGATGATAGTGCCAGTCCCACAAAGTTGTAAAGTATCTAGCACATATAGCATAGTGTCTCACATGTAGGTGGTACTTATCAAATGTTAGTCCACCTTCCTCCTCTCCTCTCTTCCTTCTTCAATACTGGAAGTATGAAAAGGGCTTGCGTGCCATGCACTGTCTGCCCACAAACCCAGAAAGAGGATGCCTACCTGCTATTGACCATCATTTCATTATCTGTATTTCCTATAAATAATATAATTAATGTTACAACTACCTTGGATGGAATTATGTCCATCTTGTCAAAAGGTAGAATATATTGCTTCCCTGTCCTGAGGTAAGGGAGGGATGAGGTGGGGCAGAAAGTGGGTGGAGGGAGGTTGAAGCCATGTGCAGTTAGAAGATGCATCCATATTTTACATTTTTACTAGGAAATTTTAATTTCAGGTTTATAACTCCTGAAGATGAGCAGTGGTTTAATGCACACCTAATTCATGCTATTGAAGAAAATTTTAGCTCAGAAATGGCATCCTGTATGCTTCCTGAACCATACTTTGTAGATTTTCTCCGTGATATGCCTGAACCAACGGGTGATGAACCTGAAGATACTGTATTTGAAGTTCCCAAAGTCTATGAACTGGTATTTATTTTCATCCTTAAAAATGTTGGGGGGAGACCACTTATGTAACTGGATAGTTCTCCCAGCCTCCTGTGTGTGGTCCTACCATGGGATTGCTGTAACTTCTAAGTTCTTTGTGTGTTGTAATTCATAATCATTATGGACCAAGTAAAATACTTTTTTCAATGCAATTTGACAGGAATCCCATTAAGTCAGGTATAAGGCAAGTATGACTTGTTATGTAAAGAGGAATATTTCTTCACAGGGTTCTCTAGCCTAAATGCTTGTTGTTGTTTGCCGCTAAGTCAGCCCCGACTCATAGTGACACCTCCTTGGATTTCCAAGGTGGTATCACTACAGAAGTAGATTACCCAACCTTCCTTCCAAGGAGTGGCTGGTGGGTTTGAATCGCCAGCCTTCTAGTTAGAAGCCAGGTGCCTTAGGCACTATGCTACCAGAGCTCCCTCTGGAAATTCTGTGGGGCAATTCTACTCTGTCCTATGGGGTCCCTATGAGTCAGAATCAACTCAAAGGCAATGGGTTTGGCTGGTTTACTTAAGGTTGGCAAATTACAGTCCATGAGTCAAATCTAGCCCAACACCTTTTTTTTGTTGTTGTTGGATCTATGAGCTCAGAAAGGTTTTTATGTTTTTAAATGGTTAGCAAAAAAGTCAAAGAGGGAATAATATTGTGTGAAATTTCAGTGTCCAGAAGTAAAGTTTTCTTGGAAGGTAGGCATACCTCACTTGTTTATACATTGCCTATGACTGCTTTGATGCTAAAGTGGCAGAGTTGAATAGTTTCAGCAGATACTGTATGACCTACAAAGCCAAAAATTTTTACTATCTGGCCCTTTACAGACAAGGTCTGCTAACCTTTGAGCTATGCCAACAATCACAAGATAGAAAATACAACAAAAAAAGTATTTAATTCAACAACAACTGAAATGGAAAATATCTAGGAATAAATGGAAAAAAAACAATACTTGACTAAATGACAGTATGTCATTCTTCCTAAATTAATGTGTAGGTTTTATGAAATTGGAAACAAGATTCCAAAAGGATTTTTTTTAACAGGGTCATATAACTAAGTGATTCTGAAGTGCACATTGATCAATGAATTAAGTAAATAAATAAATAAAACCAAACTCACTGCCATCAAGTCAGATCTGACTCATAGTGACCCCTCCTTGGGTTTCTGAGGCAGTATCACTACTGAAGTAGATCGCCCAATTTTCCTTCTGAGGAGTGGCTGGTGGGTTTGAACCACCAGCCTTCTGGTTTAGCAGTCAAATGCCTTAGGCACTAGAGCACCCATGAATTAAATAAGAAGAGACAATACCCAAAGCAAAGAAAATAGGTGATAGTTACTTCAGAACACCAAGGGCTTGTGCATTTGACTACGTAAAGAATGTAAAATACGTGTATATGTTTTAAAAAAGCCATAGACAGTATTAAAAAGCAAATGAAAATTGAGAAACGTATTTGGTACATTCCAACATTAATTACCATGGGTAGAAGTTGGCTCTGGTCTTCTTGAAGGGAAAGAGCAGAAATAATTTTGTATTGGAAACTTCCAAACTAGTGCAGTTAAGTTTCAGGCCTCTTGAAAATGGAAACAACTCAAAGTAGATCCACACATGACAAATCTCTGGAAATTCATAGTAACCCCCCCCCCCATTGCTTTTGAGTTCATTTACAATGGCTACTTTCATAAATATTTGGCTCTTAATAAATTAACATTTTTCTTCCTCCCTACCCTCCAGGTACCAAACTTTGAATTCCTGTGTGAAAAACTCCAGTTTTACCAGAGACAGTTCAATGAAATCATTAGAGGAACATCTCTTGACCTGGTGTTTTTTAAAGACGCAATGACTCATCTTATTAAGGTTCTAACTGTTGACTGTTTACTGATCTAAATAGACTGTGTAGAAGTTTATTAAATTTCATAGATAAACTTTTTGAGAGAATAAATAGTTATCAGGTAGCTTATAGGAAAGCAAAGGCTTAATGGAAACCCCTTATTTGAATCCGTCTGCATGACACTAAATGTTTTTCAAAGACAAATTTATGGCTTTTGTGTTTGAAGCTTTTGAGACACTGAGTAAAGAATTCCATCTCCTTAGAACATAGGCTGGAGAACCCTGTGAAGAAATATCCCTCTTTACATTGTATTTTGATTTTGCGGGAATCCTGTACCCCACGGAGTTGATGCCTTAAAAATGCCTCTTTCATGATTGGCTTATAGATAGATTATGGACGAAATGATGGGGAAAGGGTACAAAGATGTATTATTACCAGTTGCTATAGAGTAGCTTCTGACTCATGGCAACCGCATGTGTATCAGACCAGAACTGTACTCCAGGGGTTTCCAAGGGCTGATTTTCCAGAAGTCCATCACCAGTCTTTTCTTCCAAGGGGCTTCTGGAGGTACTCAAACCCCCAACTTTTCACTTAGCCACCGAGCATGTTAACCATATGCACCACCCGGGAACACCAAAGTGAATAGGACTGGTGAAAAAATAGAAGCCAACTAGAGGCAGCACACTCTGGTAGCGTGGTGCCTAAGGCACTTGACTGCTAACCAGAAGGCTGGAGGTTCAAACCCACCAGCCACTCCTCGGAAGGAAGGTTGGGCAATCTACTTCCATAGTGATACTGCCTCGGCAACCCAAGGAGGGGTTGCTATGAGTCGGGTCAGACTCCATGGCACATAACAACAACAACAACAACAGAGGCAGCTCGAGAAATGAGCGTGATTTGATTCAAATCTGAAGAGCTACAGAAAGGAGTTGTTTTCTTGTATAGTTGATTGGTATAAAGGAATTTCTCCAAGAATAGAGAACATGGGGTAGGGACGTTTGATTTTTTAAAAAAGAAAAGAAAGAAAAAAAAAAAAGAGGCAATTAGTTCTGTATTTATTATAAAGCCCCCCACCCCTGCAAATTTGGCTCACTTTCAGATGTCCTAGGGCTGTTTTCACATTCATCCATCCATTCAACAAGTCATTTTTGAGCTCCCCTAGGTCTTGGGGAACTGGGACATCATCCTAGCTGCAAAAGGACAAAAGTGATTAATATATTTAAAAATATATGGTAAAATTAATATATACCAAGGTTTTGCTACTATTCTGCAAATGGAAAACTTGGCTTTCCAAAAACATACATTTTTAGTGATGATAATGGATTTAGTGACCCATCTAGACTTTCATCTTAATCAGTAGCATTAATGTAAAACACAGATTTT